TGTCCCAAATGGCCCGTCCGGAAAAGTCAAAAAATGACTTTCAGAGACAAAATTTTGCATTTGTCACTATAAATAAACTTTTAGAGACAAAAATATGTGGTTGCAAAAAATTTTGATTTTGAGATAACTAAAATTTGTCTCTAAAAGTCTAACTATAGTCCCCGCAGGAAGGGTAGTTATGGGGACAACAAAATTAAGTTTTGAGACAACAAAAATTGGTCTCTAAAAGTTTAGTTTTTGAGACAAATGAAAGTGGTCTCCAAAAGTTCTAGTTTTTGAGACAAATGAAAGTGGTGTGTAAAGGTTATAATTTTTTTAAGACAACTAAAATTGGTCTCTAAAAGTTTGATAATTTTTTTTTTTTTTTGGCTTTTTGATTTTGTAACAATTACTCTAAAAATACTAGTTTGAACATCAACTTATATTCCTTGCTTGATTTCTCAACAACCAAACAAAAAATATCAAATATATCACCAGATCATCTGTTCATCTCCAAATTAAAATTCAATTACACAAAAAAAAAAAAATGCTCATTATATTCGAAGAGGCTTAATCAGAAGATATTTCAATAACAAACAAATACCATGCTCTAATTCATTATTATGTAGTATCTTGATTATGAATCATAAACTGACACAAATTTAAAAAGTATCATTTCCAATTTATAAGGTTAGTGCCATAAGCATTGTTTGTAGCATTCAACTATTCCATGAACAAATTGTAATTGGAGTTATATCTACCTACATAACAAAACAACTCAACTCATCACATCTTCTTCTCAAGGGCTTCGTTGAAATGGCATTCAAAATCTAGCAGAGAGCTCCCAAACTTCAAATTGCTACAAGCTTTCAGAACATGCATAGAATAGGCCAAACTCTTAAATAGATTACCAATTCAAGAGTTAACAAAGATTAAACTAAAATCGAACCTGTGTTAGGCACAAAAAAGCAATTACTAACAATTAATCATTTAACCACTCTTCTTACCAAAAAACAAAAAATCCCATCACTCCTTCAAACTCACTGTTTTTCTTTTGATATAAATCAGATTCATTTACGCTACTAACAGAAGAAAATATTCGAAAGATTTAAGTACCACGAAAACTCTTCCTGTGAGCTTCTTTTTCTCGGGTGCAGAAAGTGCTAATTTGGGCATTAACCTGAGATTGCACGGTCACTTGTCATGAAGATGAAGGTCAAAAGCAAACAAAAAGCATTAGACTGGTCAAATCTAAAAAAGATATATTCGTGTTTCATTAAAACGTAGATCTTATAAATGGGGAAAGATATATTTGTGATTTTGTTAGCTTATCAGGCAATGTACTAGGATCAACCAAATATAGGATAGGATAGGATTATTAATAGAAAATCCAAAGCATTAATCCAGGCCAAAACAGAAGCTGGATATGCAATGACAAGGTACTATTAGTCCTTCGAATCCTATATCCGAGAACTATCAATCCCTGGATTTGTAATCCTATAAACGTCGGTATAGAGTACAATATATACACACACAATAGAACAATTGAGCATTTTCTACTATTTATGCCCCTTGATCACTAACAATTCTACGTGTCGTTTCAGTAGTTAAGATTTCAAAGAGATCATACTTTTGTCCATTCCATTTGGTGCCATATCAAGAAAATCTTATTACCAATTATTGCATACCAATGATCTCAAATTGTTAAGTTGCAAAAGGAATGTCCTTGAACTAGATATTTAAACAAATGAAATGAAAATTTTCAAATTAAAGCAAGAAATGCTTTAAAAACTACCTCTTGCTCTAGCCTTTCTCTCAAAATCTTAAGATCTACTGCTTGAATCCCTTTTGAACTGACAAATATGAAGATAATGGGATAGGCACAATGCAGTAACAACATGATAGTTCTTAAAAAAAATAGTACTACAGAATTTAGCTATTCGGACTAATACAATTTGCCATTCAGTAAAGATCAAAAGAGGCCTACAGTATATTAGAGGTCAGTGTTGGATGCTTCTCAAATCGCCATTTGAAACAACTTATTCAAAAAAGTAATAAAAATAATGGCAATGAACAATTATTTCTTTCTTTTACCCAAAAATTAAATTTGCAATTGCAAAAGGCAAGTGGAAAACCACATATGTCATTCCTATGTTTAGAAATTGTTGATCAAGCCAAGCAAATTCATCAAAAGCTAGAGGTCTAACAAAGAAGAAGTTGGTCCACTCAATTTCTCACACTTGTCCGTATCATCTCCATTTGCATTCAGATAGAGCTAAGAATAAAGATTGTATACCTGCAGCAACAGGCGGCCAGCAATGACTCCTCTACTAGATGCCATGATTCCAAGATTGTAACGGTTGCAACGAAGCAATGCTACCACATCTGTTCAGGATATCATAGAGTTAATTATCATAGATTAGGTGCTTCAAAGATTAGAAGAGACCAAAAGAGAAACTTGTTAACCCTGAAAATCGACTGATTTAATGGCTAAAATCTTGAAACTAAGGTAAAAGAAAAGCATAAGACAGTACCCAAAAATAAACTTAGGGTTTCAGTTGAGTGCAATAATAAGTAATAAACAAGCCAAGGCAAGTGGGTTGCCTCAGACCAAAAATAGATTTTGTCTTGTTATCAAACATATTAATATCACTCAATATGCATAAAACATATTTTGTCTTGTGCTCTCTAACAGTTGCCTTTCACCTTAAAATTGGTCCTAAGCGTGTGATATATTAAACTGCGTAACTTTATATGCTATATTCTGTTTTCATTCCACTTATTTCTGTTGACACTTCAAGTACATTTGAGCTCTGGACCTAATTCAGATACATCATTCAATTTAAGTAATGGATTTGTCTAATTGAGGACTACAGAATTTTGGATTTTGTTACCTTAGACAGCAGGAAATATTGAGTTCTTTGCAATGCTTTGCCAATGAATTGACACTTCTGTGTAGGACTCTATGGTTGTACATCTATGTGAAACATATATGATTTCTAAAAAGTTTGAAGTAACTCATTGTAAAGTTATAAACTTACATTATCGCGTGTCCTTGCTGTAATCTGATTCTATCTTTTTCAATAGAAAATTGCTAAACATTGAAGTATATTTTTACTTATTTATTTGTCACTCCAAAACTATCATTGTCAAGTTATTGGCGAGTATATAACCCAAGACAAATGCACTGTTATATATCTTTGTTTATTGTTCTTTTCAGCTATTAATGTATCTTCTTGGCACTTGATTTGCAGAGATTATGACGTTTCAAAGCAAATTCGAGTAGGATAAAAAAAACAATTATAAAAAATTGACTTCAAATTTTACATCCATATGCCATGCATTGAAATAGAGAGATCTCCATTCACTTCAATTCCAACAAACCATGTAATGGAGAGAATCTAAATTTGCAAATAGAAACCCCAAGATACTTTCCACTCAAATCTCAAAATGTTAAAAGCATCCAAGAGGCTGCTGTTACATCAAATCGATTATACAGATACATACATGATAATCGATTATCATATTCATTTTCATTTTCTAACTCCCATTCATAAGTCGATTATAATATATATGATAGATGATTCACAAATATGATAGTCGATTATCAAATAAGTTGATAATATATGGTACCTGATCGGAATCGCTACTGGAGATACACTGGGAAATCAGAGAATTGAGGAGAGATGAGGCGGCAACGGAGTGATCCAGCCCTGGACAGAGATGCTTTGAGACAATGATGAACCACAGATCAGAAGCAATCAACGAGATCGTAGAAAAGAACCATTGAATTCATATATCGAATCAGTAGAGAAGAGATACATGAAAAGAAATTAGGGATTTGATAGAGAGAGAGAGAGGAAGAGAGAGAGAGAGAGAGTGATGGAACCTTTTTTTTCATTTTGTTCCCGACTATGAGTTCAAAAATCTATATAATAAGGGAGGACTGTTTTTTAAAATGTCCAAATGTAACAGAGATACATTTGGTTTTAACGGCCAAGATGAATCTGAGTTTAGATCAATGGTCTATATACATTTTCCCACCCGTTTGAGTTCATCTCTCCCTCTCTCCCACGTCCCCAAACACGTTCTCTTCAGCTCCCTCTCTCCCACGTTCTCCCTCTCTCCCACGTTCTCTATCACAGTGTCTCTAATCACCACAGCCATTGAAGACCCTTCGAACCCTTCGATACCCACCCTCCCTCTTCGATACCCACCCTCCCTCTTCGCTACGCTACTCCTCCTTCCCTTACAACCCTTCTCTTCGACCTGACCGAGGCTGTCACCGACCGAGCCTCCCTCCATCCGACGATCGAGTCGAGTCTCTCTCTTCGACGATCGAATCTCTCGCCTGACTTGCTTCTCGCCGCTCAGTCCCGCCGGACTCTCTTCTGTCGACGCTCTGTCTTTTGTCGACAGATCTGTCTTCTCTCGAATCTCTCTCTCCGACCAGCCCGATTCTGTCTCCGACCCGACCCAGCGACTCCAACCTACAGGTATATAACTACAAATTGAAATCTGTTGTTGTAGAATTTAGGTTTTTTTTTTGGATTTTTTTAAGGGGGAAAAAAAATAAAAGTTAAATTTGTTGTTGTTGTTGTAGAATTTGGGACTTTTTTTTTTAGGGTTTTTTGTAAGGGGAAAAAAAAAGAAAATTGAAATTGAAATGTGTTGTTGTAGAGTTTAAAATTTGTTCGACGCTCTGGTCACTAGCAGAGACACAGCTCTCCCAAATTCTACAAATTGAAGGTGAGCAAATTTAATTTGTAGTGGCTATGCATTTTATTCTCCCACAGGGTTATTGGAAATGAGATTCTCCACTGCTATTTATGTTTGAACATCTAATTGATGCCGTTCACTTCATTGCATAAAGCTGCATGCTCCTTCTTTAAATTCTGAAACAAAAAATAAAAATTAGAGACAACTACAAGAAATTTAAGAGTATAAATTTCAAGATTTACCTGAACTTGGTATTTGCAGACTCATGTTTCTTCTACCCTTAAAGCTTCGTTTTCGCTCTCCGGGGCGGCTAAGAAGAAATCTACGGTGACTGAGAGCTATTACAATGATTTAATTAAGGCTGTCGACAGTAAGATCACGCCCGCTACAAGGCAGATTGATCAGGTGACTTTTTTCTTTCAGCATTACATTGATTATTGTGGCACATTTATCATCATGTGAAAATTGGATGGTTGATCAGTTGTTTCAGATACAATGTTTATGATATAATGATCATTGTAAATTTGTAATGTTTGATGTTTGTGGGACTCCACTTCATTACAAAAGATGGATTGTTTTGCAATTGGATAACGGATTCTTATCTTAATAATGCTATTTGTTTGATCCTGAACATGAAATCTCCAGGTCCAATTGAGCTTATTTAGTTTGCATTACATTACTTAACGACATAATTTTTTATCATACATGATGCTTGCTTGAGGACAATGTTTACTGAGGAAAGAATTTTCTGTCATTGTCAATATCCAGAATGGAATAGAAATACTGGAAATGGTTTTGGAAACCTCTTTCTACATTGAGTCAAGTGGCTGATTTTATTATAGGCCAATTGGGGAATCTCTTGATTTAGTTTAATATTATTCGAAGGAATACAAATGTCAATATTTTCTAAGTTAAAGAGTTAATACATAGAGATGGATTTAATAATTATGGAGATGAATATGAGATCATAGCCTATTTTAGGTACACTTCTACTTTTTTTGGCAACATTTGATGTGATATGTAAGGACTGTGGAGACTTATAGCTGTTTTTTCTCTAAGAAATTTCTTTTTGTAATTTTTCATTTGTTTATGTCTTGGTAATGCATTTATGTCCTCAAGTTGAAGCTTATGGGTTGTGATCAAGCAGTAAGAATAGAGCATAAACAATATCTGTTTGTGTATGTATATGTTTGTAATTGGCTTTATTTAGAATATGTTTGTTCAAATTTCTGCAAAATTGGAAGAGTCTGCACTTCATCAAAACACATTTCTTGGGTTCCATGTCCATCTGAAACATCGCTATCGTCCATCAAAGTTGTATTTTCCCCAATAAATTCTATTTTTATTTATTTATTTATTTGTGTTTTCAATTCATGGCTATATTCAGAAAAACTTTATGGATTACCTACTAGATCTGTTTGAATGATTTTGATCGATTTTGGTGTTTAACTGACTATCTTTGATTGAGTCTCAAATTTTTTTTTTGATTGACTATTTTCCGTCTGTTGCAATTCGGGTTTGAACTATGTATAATATTTTGTTTTGCCTCTGATTTGGAGATATTATCTGCTTAATTTTATGGTTTCTTTGTGTATGTGGACTATGTATGTATGTATTTAGTTCATTTGTGAGGATGTGGAGGATTGCAAGGCAAAAACTTGGAGCTGGAGGATTTCCTGTTCCGGTAGGTCTTTCAATCGTATGTTTTGATTTTGAAAAAGGAAGATTTTTTTGCATCTAATAGATAGTATTTAATTTCAGATTTTAGAACAATCCTTGCAGAGGATACAGCAGCCTGCAGTATCCGCATTGAGATGTTATTCATCTGCTACCAAAGAGGTAGTTGTGGATTATGTTCATTGTGTTATACCAAGGTTCAATGGTGAAATGAATATAGGAGATCACACCTGATCGAAACAACAAATTAGAGAAGCAAGGGACGAAGTAAAAAGATCTAAAACAAAGCTAAAACAAAGTCGAGTTGAAGACGAACGAACACACACAATTCCTTCGTAGTAGTTAACAACCAACTTTTAATAACAAAGCGACACATTTAATGAGGATGTACAAATTACTCTATAGTCACCACGTAATCCAAGAAAGCCTCATCAAATTACGACCAATGTTATGTCTGATCGATAGATTTAGAGTCAACATGTTGAGTACACACTGAGTAAGCTTCATCATTTTAAACCACTTAAACGGTTCAAGTTCAAATGGAGGAGATGTTCTTGGCAAAACGATTTGAACTCAGTGAATCATCAAATTGGATGTACTTACATTTGTTATATATTATTGCTGCGTGGTTTACTTTATGGATTACCTACTGGATCTGTTTGAATGATTTTGATCGATTTTGGTGTTTAACTGACTATCTTTGATTGAGTCCTGTATGAATAGGATTGCTTTAACGGTAGTCTATGATAAAAAAAAATTTAAAACAAATTTTTTTTTTTTTTTTTGGATTGACTATTTTCCGTCTGTTGCAATTCGGGTTTGAACTATGTATAAAACCAGGCAACTCAAAGGTAATACTCTCTCTCTCTCTCTCTCTCATAGTAGTAGCAGCAGCAGTAGTAACAATATTCTCTCAAATTCTATCTTTAGATGGGCATATCCTTGCACACATCCTGGCTGCAACCTCCATTGGAGTCATCTCTGCCATTGCGTTTCACTACTACCATCGACAAGCCCCAAAAACAGTTGGAAGATCAAACCGTAGTTCCATTGTTAGACAGGAATGAGTCTGGCTGTGTTGCCAAACTTGAAAGATTCTCCAATTATGTCGGTAAAAATCTATTCATTTCCATTCTTCTTTTCTTCTTCTTTTTTTCATAATGTTTTTCCACTTTACAACAACTAAAATGTTTTATTGTTTTTGTTTTTTGGATTTTGGGAATGGGGATGGATCAGCTAGGCAGATAGGATTTGAAGATGGAAGTGAATGTCCCCAACTTTGCAAATTAGCATATGAGTACCTCAAAAAATCCAAAGAGTGTGAGAGTACTATCTATGAGTATTTTGCTGATGAGCCAAATGTTGATGAGCTGTATGTGAAGTTGGTTGAGGAGTTTGATAGGTGCATCCTTGCCTATATTGCATTTCATTGGAGCCAAGCTTCTCTCATGATCAGTCAGGTATATGCATATATATGTGTTTATAAATGTTTCAACAGAAATGTTTGGTAATCAAAAATTTTACTTCAAGAATTAGTCAGAAAAAAATATTGAATCGAAAACTTTACTTCAAAAATTAGTCAGAAAAAATATTGGAGTAGTTGAGATTCATTTTAAATTAGGTCCCACTATATGTGTGTATGTTTTTATAAATGTTTCAACAACAATATTAGGTAATTGGAAAATTTAATTAGAAAATTACCAAAAAAAAAATTTAATGATGGAGATTCATTTCAGGTTGGGCTTTGATGTTTCAATTCAACAGCAATGTTAAGGAATCAGAAAATTTAATTAGAAAATTACCCAAAAAAAATATTGAATGATTGAATTTCATTTCAGATTGGGCTTTCTGATGTTTCAATTGCTGAATTTTCATTTCTCCTTGAAAATCTTTCATTCATTCTCTTCTTTTATTTTATTTTGGGAATGTGTGAATTGCAGGTATTGAGTATTGATTCTAATAAGAAAAAGTTGTGTTTTTGCAAATATATTTATGTTTGGGTACTTTTACAAAATTCATTTCAAAGTCAATAAATTTGATAAATTACATTTTAAATCAATACTTTTAAATTTAATTATATTTTAATCTTATAATTAATTTAGACACGGATATACATTTTTAAACCTCCAAATCAACCCTAGGGACTTGCTTGGTTAGAATCTATTAGCAGATAAATCAGTAGTTTGAAGGTATTAAAATCTGAAGGTGTTAGAATCTATTATCAGATAAATCAGTAGTTTGAAGGTGTTAAAATCTGAAGGTGTTAGAATCTATTGACAGAAAAATCAGTAGTTTGAAGGTGTTAAAATCTGAAGGTGTTAGAATCTATTATCAGATAAATCAGTAGTTTGAAGGTGTTAAAATCTGAAGGTGTTAGAATCTATTATCAGATAAATCAGTAGTTTGAAGGTGTTAAAATCTGAAGGTGTTAGAATCTATTGACAGAAGTTGAACTTTTTGAGCACTTTCAAGTTGTTGTAAGCTTTAAAGACTGGAAATTAGGTCATCAAAACGAAGACCATACGGGCGGAATGTGATTGGTTGGATGGAAAAAGCAAGTAGAAAAAGCGATAGAGTGAAGTCTAAAATAATAAATAAATAAATAAATAAATAAAAGAAAAATAAAAAGAAAGAGCTTTGGGTGACCCACCATCAACCAGGAAGAGGTCAGAAAATTCCATGACTTTTGAGAAATCAAAATATTGTATTTATTATTATTTTTATTTTTAAAATCTTAATTTATTTTGCTTTTATTGTTTGTTGGACAAACTACTAAATTGAAATTCTTAAACAATATAATAATTATTTATTTGGTAGTATTATATATATCAATGGGTATAAATAATAGAATAATTATTTGTTTGCCGGCAGTGAGAGTATTTCGGTGCTTCTCTGTGAGATGCATCACCGGAGTTTTGGATTATTTCATTGTTATTTTATTTGAGTTTTATAAAACTTAAGATACAAGTAAAATTGTTACAATTTTTAAAAAGAATAGTATTTCTTTATATTTTTTCAATATTTTTGTCAAAAAAATTACAGACTTCATAATAAATTTTAATATGATACATATGAATTATAACTATATGTTGATCACAAAATTATTTATATCGTGCCTTTAGGCACGGGCATACGCTAGTTGATATATAAAATATAATAATATATTATTTGGATTTATTAGGGACCAATTAAAATTGTAGGAATATGATTTGGATTTATTAGAGATCAACTAAAATTGTAGGGAAAAGTGATTGATCCTTTTTCAACTAAACAAATTTGTCTAGAAAATGTAATAATACGATTAAATATATTTTTAAAAAAATTCTTTCATTTTGTCCTTAAAAGTATAATTTTTACAAATAAATTATTTTTGTCTCAAAAAATTTGTCTTTAAAACCTTAATTTCTTGTAGTGGATATATATTTTATCTTACTAGTAAGTAAGTAGTTATATATTTTTGGTCACTTTTTTCTAAAGTAAAAATTATTAGGATTGGAGTATGATATCATTTATGGTTCCCTTGGTTTAAGGGTAATTTAAGAGTTCAAGCCATAGTTATTATTGCACTAAAAATTATTATCGAGAATTTCAATAGGCAAATAGCTAGTACAAATATATAAGTACGCCTGATATATAAATAAAAATTTATACATAATTTTTATATAAAATAGTATGGTTAAATGTGGTTCTTTACTTTAAAACAAAATATTCATAAAAATTATTTTATTTACAAAACTCATATTATAACATTATTCTTGTAATGTTTTGTGTATTTATTTATAGATGATTGTAGTTTTTCAAAGACAAAGGGAAATGTGAATTACAACTTTACGTCAAAGGTCTTGTGCCTAAACATCTTAATTATTTTTTCTTAAATTATCTGCAAATATTTAATTATGTGAAAACTTTTAAATATAAAAATCTAAAACCATATATATTTTTTTATAACTGACAATTTGGATCAGTTTACGCCCAACTCAACTAATTTTCCTTTCTTTTTTCTCTCTCTTAAAACATCTAACACTATTAAATTCATGGAAAAAACTAAAATTCTAATCATTAGTGTTCATAAAATTTATCACCAACCTGAAATTATATATGTTTTAAAATCAACACTAAATTGTGATTGTCCCAAGAAGAAATATTAGGAGATAGAATCTGTGCGAGGAGCAAATATTCAGGCGAGCCCGCACTCCTTTCTTCCAAGCTCCTGTCTGTCCGACCGACCTGCGAGCACAACGGCGGTGAGCTACCCGGCGATGTGTGGCCGGAAAACCCCTCCGACGATCAAGTTAGACACACACACAAGGATAGAGAGAGAGAGAGAGGACTCAATTGTGTTTAGTGTTTATCTCACCAAAATGTCATCTGCCCCAGCATGGGGGGCGCAGACTTACTTATATACCTTCTGCGCGCCAAATCCACTCCCATTCGTCTCTCGACACGTGGCGCTACTATTCCAATTGTCAGCACAAATCTTGCTAAACATCACCTAACCCGACTGCCAGCCTACTCTACTGGGAGCTCGGCAGCCGGGCTGCATCATCTCGGCTGTAGATGGTCGTGTTGTATAGCTGGCCAGAGCGCCCCGCTCGCCGCGCTTCGCTTCGACCGAGCTCGGGCATATCCCGGCATCGCCGAGCTCGGGACAGCTACGCTTGTTTGCCGTGGGCCTTAACGCCGAGCAAACACATGTAGCTCGGTCCAACCTTATCTTTCCTGGCGCCGGACACCCACTTGGCAGGCTTCGATACCCAGAAGCTATGTAGCTCGGTCAAACCACGCCTTGCATTAACCGAGCAGGATCTTTCAAGACAAGGCCGTACTACCTCGGCCCAACCCTTGTTCGGCCCAATTCCAAATCATAAATCTCCCTCTCAATTGCCCCTTAATTCTGTCCGCGCAAGCGTGACTGGGATTACCCGTTCTGACGGGGGTTACCTCTCCCCGCTCCTCGGTTCACCAGTCGATGACTGGGCTAGCTAACATGCCTGTCTTCAACATACTATCTCTTGACTTGCTCGGTCGTCGCCTCATCTGACCTTTTTGTCTGTTCAACTCTGACGCTGCCATTAATGAAGACACGTGTCAATCTCCCATTGGTCCTCGAGCGGCCAACCTAGCCGTCTGTTGGCATTCAAATTTTTGGCGGTTTTTTCTTCCTTATCTGCATGCCTAGCTTCCTTCATTTCATTCCTCTTGCCTATCATTTCTCTTCGACGACCCAGAGCTTGTGCCATTCCTCCCTTGCCATTCCTCAGCTTGTGTTCAAAGAAGCAGCCACTACCCTTCAAAGGTATGTCCCCCAACTCCTCTTTTGCTGTTATTTCACTTAGAATTTCACACATTAGGGCACTGAACACGCAGTTTTTAGGACATAGGTACCCAAAATCGTCCCAAATCCTTAACTATTCATTGTGTTCTTCACTTTCTCTGATGAACATTGAAGATCTGGGGCGGACCGGGCTCCAGGTCTTCTTTTGATCCAAAAAATCACTCCGACCGAACAAATAGCTTGTTTGCCTCAACCTTCGTAGAAACCGGGGTAGCAAAAGGACTTGGCCGTTCGACCAGGCCATTCTATGGTTCGCTTGAGCGACCGAGCTCCTTAGCTAGCTTTTACGACCGAGGTGGTTTGGCACAATCCATGACCGAGCTCAAGTCCAGCTCGTTTTGCACGACCGCGCTCCCATTTACAATTACCCTCCGTTTTCCTGCAGAGTCCAAGGGGACCAAAGACCAATTCCAAGGCTCTCAAGGACCGAGCAGCCATTAATCCCCAGCTTGTGCCAAACCACCTCAGCCGAGCTAGATTAGTCAGTCAAACATGGGAAAATTTCGCTTCCTTATGGACACACCTGCTGCCTTGGCTGCCTTCAGGGAAGAATACGGTATCCCGGCAGACGTCCACATAGAGCTCGCCGAGATGGAAACAACACCGTGGGGCAGGCTCGACCAATGCCCCTTCACCGTGCTGTCAGTAATTGAAGGAGGCCTCCGCTTCCCGGTCAACCCTTTGATGACCGAATTTCTGCGTCGCACTGGGCTAACACCCACCCAGGTTTCGACCAACACCTACTGAATAATCAATGGCGTGCACGAGCTAAACAACCGGCTAGGAACAAACTTAGGTTTAGCCGAGACACTGCGACAATACACCCTTGGGCACACCGGCGATGGCCTGGCCTACTATTTAAAAATAAGACCGGGCAAAGAGAAGATAGTAACCGGCACCCTAGACAAGGACTTACACGATGACGACTTCTTCTGGGTGTCTGGCAACTATGAAACAGCCGACGTACCGGGCCGATTCATCAGCAAGAACTTTGGTTCCACATGTAAGCCGCGCTAATTTTCTCGGTTAAGTCCTTGCCTTCAACATTCTGTACTTACTATTTTTTCTGTTTCTTTTGCAGCAATTCAAGCCTTGCAATCCAACTACCAATATCCCATCGTTGAAGCCATCCGAACCGTGCTCCGTTACAGCCACCGGGATTGTAACGAGTTGCTCGGCTACACTCCAACCTACAGATACTCAGCTCCACGCCGGAGCAAAGTTACAGACTTTCTCCGTGCTCCAACACCTCCTCCGGACCCATCTCTATCGGACGTGCCACTAATCCGGCTGACCGAGGAACAAGAGATGGCAAAACGAAGCCGCATCAAGAACCTCCTAACAGCCACCTCAGCCGAGATACCGAGCATCACCACCCACTCGCAAGCTGCCAGACAATCCAGCAGCCCCGTGGTCGCCTTGGCCTCTCCAAGTGCTGGGCAACCCAGACAAGAAGCTTGCCGGGCTAGCAAAAGGTCTCGCGCAGACCCATCCGCCGAGCTGGTTGCCGAGTTGACCACCGAGCAACCCACCGTTACTGTCGACCCAACACCACCATGGCGACCGCAGTTGAAGCACTGGGGAAAGGACATTCCAGCAACCGCTTCTATCA